TTTCTCTTAACATTTTTTAAAAATATTTTTTGTAATATATATCATTGAAAGTAAAGTGAAAAAAAAACTAATTTGGAGCCTATGTAGTATGAAAAGATTATAAATTGTATGTTAAAGGAAAATATATTACCACTCCACAATTGAAAAAATGTTACAATTCTAATTACTTTTCATTCTACATTTTCCCAAATTACTTTTCTCACATTGACTTTACTGAGATTAAGAAAACGTTTAAAAAAAATTGACATTTGAAATTTGTGTCATTAAAATTGGTTTTAGATCATATCGTTATTACTTATTTTATATAGACTATTTCATAAGAGTTTTCTCAATTTTTTGTTTGTCACGAAATTTTTTTTTCAATTTGTTTATACAAAAGAATATGTGGTTTGACATTTTTTTCAATTTTCAAAATAAAATCTAACAATTAACTCTCTTTTACTATTCAACCTTTTTTATACATCTTTTCAGTGTTTTATAATCTCAGTAAAATAAGAGAATAAATTGATTTATGATAGAAATGTTATTTTTTGTTAACACAAAGAATTAATAAAAGTTAAATAATTAAACAATGAAGTAGGTAATATAATATTCTTAGGTAAAAACAACGAAGTATTATACACACAAGGACATTTTAGGAAGAAAGTTTAAATAAGATAAAGATTGGAGTGCATATAGTAATATTTGGAGTGTCAATACATTGAGAACCAATGTCATGAGATGACTCGGGATATGTTTTGGTGCCTTGTTCGTATAATTGACGGTTCATATCCCTCCTAATTCCTCCGAACACGCCCCCTCCCTTCAATTGCACCCCCAAATTAATTTTAACTTTAATTTGGAGTCAAATTTTAGGGGAGGGGGTTTACCCGGGGACGGGGGAAGTTTACCGGGAGGTTGGGAGGTAGTAATCGTCAATTTTATGAAAGGAACACTAAAGCACCCCCGAATCATCCCACGACATTGATTCCTAAGATCATGGGAACCCGCTCATGTCAATATCACTTCCCTAATTATATACGGAGTATATGGTTTTTAATTTTTGAGATGACCCCAAAGAGGAAGGAAAGCATTAAGCACATGCCACCATAGCTGTATCATTTTGTTAGAGTATATATGTGCGTATTTCTCGTACTGAAATAGACAAACCGGAATTTTTTGAAATCAACATATTTACAATATGCTTTCATCAGTGGTTCCAACTTCAGTTATGAACCGTTTATTATTTTCAAAGAAAAAATATATAGTTAATTACCAAAAAAAGTTTGATTAGATATTGATTAAACAAAAAATAGAATTCTACTCGCAAAATATAGAAAAAATAAATAAAATGAAACTGGCCGGGAAGCAAATTAAAACTGAAACCATGTGCTCAAGTTGTTTTTTTTTTTTAAAAAATAATCAGTTAATACTAAAATAAGAGTAACATAGTCTAATAACCCATATAGAGTGTGATGCTAAAAAACAGTCAAGCTAAGATTCATGAAGGTTCTCATTTATTCTTTTTTTATGAATAATGTGTCCCATTCTTGGATTTTTCCTTGGAGCATTTTTCTACCAACTCCTTTTTGTTTGAGTTTGTTTGTTGTTTTTTTACTCCACTACTTGTTTAGTGTTTGATGGTCACTTCAACTCATTTTAATTAGTCCAATTTTAGCTGAATACATCTCACTTTATTAGTTCAACATTTAGTTTAAAAATATCTAATTAAGTGGACATTAGCACCTGCTTGTTACATAATAGTTGTTGTAGAAAAAAGTCATTAAAACTAAATTTCAATGGTTTCATTCAACTTATTTTTTACTTATTATTTATTTTAATTAGAATCAGATCAGAAATAGATTTAAATATAACTACATTCAGATTAGATCACAATTTATTCCAATCAGATTAATATCATTTAGACCATTTAGAACATGACATAAGATTCATACTTATTCTATAGAGCTTATTGCATTGATATTATACTCCATCCGTCCCAAATTATAATGCCTGTTTACTATTTACAGGGTCAAACTTCATTCACTTTCTTTCTCTATTTTCGTTAGCAATTTGATAAAATAAAATATTACTGTACTACTAGTTTTTGTAGATCTTTTGATGTAGTTTTTTAATATGTAATTTTTATTTTTTAATTCTATATCATTTGTCATATAAAATGGTTTGAAAATAATTTCAGTCAAACACCGTAAACCGAAACATGCGTTATAAAATGGGACGGAGGTAGTAAAAGATTTGGTCTTTTTGTAAAGAAGAAAATATCTACTTTCCGGCTCATGAAAAAGTGTGCGAAGGGATCTCAGGATCACAAAAAAACAATTCATTTTTTAATACTTATTTTATTGCACAATGATTATCTCTGTGTAAAACATGTAAAATTTCAATACTTTCAAATGAGTTTTAACTACAAATTAGTATGGAAACAAAAAAATATAAATAAGATTCTTCAAAAGTATATAAACAATTGTACAAAATAAGAATAAAATATTTTATCTTTTTTTTAATTGATCAAATGACGGTGGTGAAAAAGGCCAAACAAACAATCTTTGCAAATTCAGCACACAGGTAAAGGTGGAACCGTGGAAGATGGCGATAATCTCCATGCCTGTGACGTGGTCTGCTTCTTCTCTAACATCCCCAAATCCTCGGCGAGTCAAGCGGTGGGCCTCTCTCTCTCTCTCTCTCTCCATTAATCGATTCTTAATTGTTAAAATTAGTTAATTGTAATGTCAAAATAAAGAACCCAGACACGAAAAATGCAATCTTTGTGAGAAATTGCTCTGGGCGTGACAGGTTTTGTTATTCTACAATGGCATCTGCAAGCGTGAACAAGGCGAGTCCTTGTTTGGGAGTCAAGGTTACTGAAGGGCATGGGAATTTGCCTAAGATTGTTTTGACTTCTTCTCATGGAAGGTACTCGATCTCTACATTGCTATTTCTTAACAATTCGAATATAACAAAGCTGTTGTTCTTGCTTAATTCTCATTACGTATCATTCATCAACACTTGGATTTTGCATTTTCTTTATTCTCTTGTAATTGGGAATTTGGATCATCTTAACTGTAATGTTGCCACATTCCGAAATGAACTTCGTTTCGAGAACACTTAATGTGTTTGAATTGTAGAATAGTATCAAAAGCTGAAATGTGTTTGTGTTATTAAGCAAGCTACATTTGTGTGGTTGGCACTTATGTAGTAGACTGAGAAAAATAACGTGAAACAAAGTAGAAGTAGAACGTTATCTTGGGACGCATCAAAAAAGAATTTGGGGTGTATAAAAAAGGATATGTGTAACCTTTGATGGTTTGTCTGATTCTTGAAACATTGCAGTGAGGCTGAGCTCTATTTGTTTGGCGCATGTGTTACATCGTGGAAAGTGGGCGAAAAAGATCTTCTTTTTGTTAGGCCAGATGCTGCGTTCGATGGGAAAAAACCAATCAGGTGCTAAAATCTCACCTGTAATATTCAAATCTCACTTGTTAAAACTTTGTCCAATAACCTAAGTGTCACATTTTGGCAATTTCTTGGAAAATATATCTTTAATAACAGCTTGTTTTAGTGCCATAGGTCCTCTGGGGTTGTCTATTTTTGAATGCTTGAATTAGAGCCATAGGGACCTAAGAAGTTTTCTGACAGTTTTCCATTGGCACAGTGGAGGAATACCACATTGTTTTCCACAGTTTGGACCTGGCCAAATTCAGCAGGTAAAAATCAATTGCCATTATCTGTTTCTAATAATAATGCAATAGTTTCAAATTCTGAGTGTACCACTTATACAGCATGGATTTGCAAGGAATATGAACTGGTCATTTGTCACTGCCGAAAACACCCAAGGAAATCCAGTCATTACTGTAGAGCTGAATGATGCCCCATATAGTCGTTCTATGTGGGATTTTAGTTTCCAAGCTTTGTACAAGGTTCGTAACCCTGGCCCTCATCGTGCTTCACAACTTTGAATTTTTAGCAATGCAAAAGTGAAAAAAAATCATTCTCAGGTCACGCTGTATGAGAAAGTGCTGTCTACAGAACTGAGAGTTACAAATACAGACCAGAAGCCATTCTCTTTCACCACTGCATTGCACAGTTACTTTCGCGTAAGCAAACGTCTTTATGGCCAATCAACAATTACCAGAAGCCAAACAAACCATCTGCAAAGTTTCTGAAAGTTCATAACTCCTCTTGTGCAGGGTTCCATTGAGAGTGCATCAGTTAGGGGCTTAAAGGGTTGTAAAACACTAAACAAACACCCTGATCCTAGAAATCCACTGGCAGGTCAGGAGGAAAGGTTAGTATCAATTTCTCACCCCCCCCCCCCCAAAAAGAAAACAAAAGCTAAATCTTATATTTTGTGATTCCAGGGAATTCGTTACCTTCCCCGGCTTTGTAGATTGCATTTATCTCGACACTCCTAATGAGCTACAACTGGACAATGGTTTGGGTGATACAGTAATCATCAAGAATACTAAGTAAGTGAAAGCAAGCATCTGCTCTCATAGAAAAGAAATTACATTATTTCATTCATTGAACTTTGCAATTTCATTTCTATTAACTTCATTTTGTTTATTTGTGCAGTTGGTCGGATACTGTTTTGTGGAACCCACACCTAACGATGGAAGCATGTTACAAAGATTTTGTCTGTGTTGAAAATGCAAAGGTGCATAGCTGAGAGACACTACTTGATGAATAGTTATAATGATTATTATCATTTTATTATTTCTAATGTGAGATCTTCTGTGCTTTTTTGAATTTTTTGGACACCTCAGATTGGAGAAGTAGAGTTAAAGCCAAACCAAAGCTGGACTGCCGTTCAACATTTAAGTCTTCCTTGAAGAAGATATGCAGTCTTTAGCTCTTCTGCTTCATTTGATAAAGGTTGTCTTTTTTCTCTGGCTTTTTCGAAACAAACTCTTATATAACTATTCAGAATTTTTGAGTGGCACAATGCTTTTCAAGTGTAACACTTTCTAAAACTCGTCCAAAAAAAGAAAAGAAAGAAAGAAGATATCTGTGAACTTTTATTGCCAAGAATCTTGACATTTTTCTCCTTTCAAGTGTTCTTCTCAAGAAGTTAGCAAGCTAATGAGGCAGACCAGTAAGACGATAACCAACACAGAGAAAACCCAACACACCAACTTCTTCCCCCTGCGCTTCATCTGCTTTGCGTAGAAAAGGTTGTGGGTCCCACCGTTGATAAAGCTTCCGGCATTGGCGACATTGCGCTCTATATTGTCAATCTGTGCGCCCTGCGCCTCCACCATGACAGCCATGTCAAGGAACACCTGATGAAGCTTGTCCAGACTCCTCTGAATCTCCATCACACCCTCATGCCGCTCTCTGCTCTCCTCTTTCATCTCCACCTTTGTTTCAAAGATCTGAACATCTTCTCTCCCCAAAACCATCTTCTCTATCACTTCTTCATTTGGAACCTCTCCCGTGGCATTATAGTACCTTCTCCTCAGGTCATCTTTGTAACCCAAGACGATCTTCTGTCTCAGCGCAAGAAAATCATTCATGATGTCCTTCAGCTTGACTCTCAGCCCGTGGGTGGTGGAAACACGGATTCGGTCAACCGTGGTTCCATTTGGGTGAGCCGAATTTGATTGGTCAAGTGCCCAGAGTTTGGTTTTGACCGTCTTGGCCTTGCGAAGGACGGTCACCATGTTCGAGTCCATACGGTCCCTTAATCCGCGGTAAACTTTGGCGCTGTGGGTCGTTTTTGTCTCCTCGTTTAGGGATTGAAGGTCGGAGAAGAGGTCTTTGATCCCTTCTATGTCAGTCTTGATCTCTTCAACTTGTTGGAAGAAATGGGAGAGGTTATTTGAATCTTCATTGCTCAGGTGGCCTAATTCTATGTCTTTATCCTCAGGTTCATCGTCCATCTGGGCTTGCTTTTTCAGTTCCACGTAACTCAAGAACGATTTGGTCATCAGATCGTTCATTTTTAGTCGTGGAAGTGTTTCTTGAAGACGAAGATGATGATGAAAAACCTGCAATAATAAATCAAACTTCAAAAAAATCTTTTTTTTTAAACAAATGATGATAAAATGCCTTGATATTCATACCCTTTTCCCCTTTCAAGATCTAGAGACGAATTACACAGAAAACACTAGATTTCAAGAAACCAATAGAAACTAACTGAAATCCAAGAAATTTGAGAAGGAAATGGCGCTGTGCAGATTTCTACTTGACGCTATGAACAAATGATTATTATTGGAAAATAACATGACTTTATAAAGTGTAGAGAATATGAAGGGATTGATGAGGATTAGAAGCTTTCAGTTTCAAATATTTGAAAATCATAGCCGTTTTATAGTTAGTTACTCTTGTAAATGCTGCTTTTTTCCGGTTTTTTTAATTTTTAATTTCGTTATTTATTACTCTTCTTTGAAAACTTATCATTCTTTCTCCCTAAAGAAAATAATTATTCTTTCAAAAAAGAGTCGCACTTGCACCAATGAGTTTCATTTTTCATCAAATTTAATATTTTTGGTGCTCAAAAAATAATAATTTAATACTCCGTATTTTTTATACAGAAGATGTCATACAAATTCAGAGTGTTAAATTTACTTGATAACGACCCAATATTTTTCACAAGTTGAAAAATGCATTTTTGTGAAACAGGCATTTTTAATATTCCCTCCGTCCCGTTTTAAATCGTCTGTTCTGACTTTAGGGCATATTTAAGGAAAAGAAAATATAAAGTTGATTTTCTGAAATTGCCATTACTTTTTAAGAGGGTGACGATGAATGAGAAGATAAGGTGGAAAAGAGCGATTTATTTTAGGGGTAGTTTAGGTATTTTATTCTTAAAAGTTTACGAAAATAATTAACAGACAACTTATTTTGGGACAGAGAAAAAAGACAAACAGACAATTTAAAATAGGACAGAGGAGGTATGATATTGTGAATATATACACACTATGATTTTGTACTACCATTTTTGTAAATTGTACTCCTAAAACAAATTGCATATTAAATTTAGTTAATACCTAGACCCTAGTAAGGCTCTCTTGCATAGTTGCATGTACCACTAATATTTTTTAAATTTATTTGTTGGTATAGCTATAACTAACACAATTCACTTGTTTGAGATACTTTTTCATTCGAAAATTGGATATCATGGAAATAAACATCTTTTTTCATCTCTGTTTTTGGAACAAAAATATATTGAGAAACAAGACTCTTAATGATTACAATGAGGATAAGTTCTTTTGTAGTCTTTAGATTCATGCTCTTTATACGAGCCTCGATAAATAAAATCGGTCCGGTTCCAGTGACACCGGAAAACGGTGCCACTGGGTTTTTGGGGCACCTCTGGTGCTCCGTTCGTAAAATTGACGGTTCCTACCCCCCTAACCCACCCCCTAAACCCCCCACCCTACCCCCACCCCTGCACCCCCACCCCAACCACACATTTTGTGGGGGAGTTACGGCGGGATTGGGGTGGGGGTGCAAGGGTGGGGGTAGGATGGGGGGTTTAGGGGGTGGGTTAGGGGGGTTAGAAATCGTCAATTTTACAAACGGAACACCGGAGGTGCCCCAAAAATCTAGTGGCACCGCTAGTGGCACCGTTCTCCGGTGTCACTAGAACCGGGCCGAAATAAAATACTCATATATATTGGGCCTTCTAGAAAAAAAGAAATCGAATTGTGAGCCAATAAAACATACGGAGTATATGAGAACATCCACATTTCAATATGGACTATAGGATCACGATAACATAACTCCTTTATGAGATGGATAAATTAACTTATGGGTGGAGTTCTCATGACATTGGGTTCCAATCAGGGGCGGACCCAGAACATTCATACTATGGGGTCGCCGGTCGCAATTTAGAAACTTTATATCCAACAATCACGCTTCTAACAATAAATAAACAATATTCTACAATACATAACATTAAAGTTTATATATATTATTGAAAATACTAATTAAAAATAGTTCTACATTGCAAATGTGAAATACATCTTACAAATGATAACGTCTAGTTTTCATATTTTGAAAGTGATTTATTATTTTATCATTGCTAATAGTAGCAAAGACATCTCTTTCAATATATGTCACTAGACAATCATTTAACCATTGGTCACAAATTTTGTTTCGAATCTCATTCTTCACAAACTTCATGGCTGAAAAAGCATGCTCAACACTAGCCGTTGTTACAGGTAGAAGCAAAGCTAACCTTATGAGTGTGTAAACATGTTGATATGTCATATCCTTCTTTGTAGAAACCATTTTCATAGACAAATCAACAAGCCCATTCAAAGCAGCGAATCTACTATCAGTCCGAACATCCAAAATGTAATTCTCAAGCTGGTTTTCTAAAATCTTGATGTCAACTTCTGAAAACTCCCTTGGATAAAAATCAGCCATTTTTAATAATGTAGCTTTGTCATAAGACTCAAACGATGAACAAGGGCTTAAACATGCAACACAATTTAACAACTCCGTGCTTGCTACATCAAACCTGCTCCCAAGCTCCTCGACGATTCTATCAATTATCTCAAACAAGCAATCAAACTTGTAATGATGCAAAATTGTAACAACTGGAGCATTCCGTGCACGCTTAATTTGCTTCACATAACGATCATTCATGTTAGGCACAAATATATTATTCTTATAACAAAACTCCATGACTTCATTGCTGATTTTGTTCCACATATCATCTGTTCTCATGCTTTGAAAACGCCATTTCACAACTTGAACAAGTTTCAATGCATTTAAGAGATCTTGTTCACGTCTTTGCAGTGCTTGAGATAAATCCTGAGTAACTGCTAAGACATTAACCATGATATGAAGCATGAAAGAAAACTCAAAAGTTTGCAAATCTTTAAGTAAAGATTCTGCCTCCCCGCTAGCATCATTATCCCTCAGACTTACCAGAACTTCAATTACAGAAGGAAATAAAGCTTTCAAATTCAACAATGTTTTGTAATGAGAACCCCAACGAGTATCACCTGGTCGTGCAAGCATGAGTTGTTGATTCAATCCTCGACCTGTCTTCAATAATCCTTCTTCTAAAGCGGCTGTTAAATGGCTCATTTCTTTATCTCGAAGCATATCTCGTCATTTATTAGACGAACAAATTTCATTAACAACACGAGTCACATGAAGAAGCAACCAATTAACCTCTACATGCCCTTTCACAGAAGCAACAAGTGACAATTGAAGTTGATGAGCTAAACAGTGAACATAATATGCAGAACTATTTTCATTTTGAATCAAGGTTTTCAAACCACCAAATCGACCTCGCATATTACTTGCTCCATCATAACCTTGTCCTCTTATTTGTGATATACACAACCCATATTGTGCCAAAATGTACATTTGGATGATAATCTATAATTCTCTTTCTTAGTCCCGGATCAGCCTCTAATGATTCAAAATCCAAAGATGATGATATATTTGTATTCAAATTTGATGTTTCCGGTGGATGATTTAAAGATGACGGAGCATTTGCGTTCAAATTTGATGGATTCTCACTTGATTCTTTCTCTTTAAATCTTGGTGCCTTTTTAAAATACCTTTGCATCCTATATTGAAATTTAAATAATTAAAACATTATAAACTTAAGTACATACCCTAATTATATTAACATTTTCACAAATCACAAATCAAAATCTTACAAAATAAATAAACGAATTCAATTTTCTATTTTGCTATTTAGAATAACAAATTTATAAAAATTAATTTAAATTATCACAATTTACAAATAAAATAAAAATATCCAATTTAGATAAATCAATTTAAGAGAAAAAACCCGATTGTTCGAGTAATTGGGGCCTTGGGGGGTTCTCGTCGCCGTCGTCGGATCCAACTTTCAAGCGGCGGAAGGCGGTCGGCAATCGGCGGATGTTTGGCGATCGGATGGTCAATTAGGTCTAGACCCTGGAGATCTGGTGCAGAACTGCAGAAGTGGGAAGTGTCGATCGATCTGGTTTAAGCGGAAATCGGGAAAAAAAAAGAAAAAAAACGACGCCGTTTAGATTTTACTCTTCTTAAAAATAAAAGTGTAAAGTCAGCACCTAAAACTGGATTCGAACACAGGATTGCCCAGTCGCCCACCCGAACACGGAACAACGTAGCTATCCACTCCTTCAGAGCTGACAAGTAGTAACATGTAGCGTTTTGTAGAATACTCCCTCCGTCCCAGAGTATTTGTCCACTTTCATTTTTACACACCATCCAATGCACTTCTTTAATCCATTTTATCTTGTAATTTGTATATTAAAAAATTATAGAAATTATATATTAATAATCTATATGTTAAGACAAATCAAACAAGATCACACATGACTATATTTAGGCTTACACATTGAGAGAATTTGATGAGTCAAAGTGCTTAGATGAACAGTTCCAAAAGTCAAAAGTGAACAAACAAAGCGAGACGGTGGGAGTATATACTAACTCTAGGTATTCATTAAAAANAACGTAGCTATCCACTCCTTCAGAGCTGACAAGTAGTAACATGTAGCGTTTTGTAGAATACTCCCTCCGTCCCAGAGTATTTGTCCACTTTCATTTTTACACACCATCCAATGCACTTCTTTAATCCATTTTATCTTGTAATTTGTATATTAAAAAATTATAGAAATTATATATTAATAATCTATATGTTAAGACAAATCAAACAAGATCACACATGACTATATTTAGGCTTACACATTGAGAGAATTTGATGAGTCAAAGTGCTTAGATGAACAGTTCCAAAAGTCAAAAGTGAACAAACAAAGCGAGACGGTGGGAGTATATACTAACTCTAGGTATTCATTAAAAAAATAAAAAAAAATATTTATATATAGTAAAAAAAATTAAAATTTTCATGGGGTCGCTTGACCCCATATGACCCTATGTGGGTCCGCCCCTGGTTCCAATGTCATGAGAACCCCACCCATTAACTTATCCATCTATATTACGACAATATGAGATGGATAAATTAATTTATCCATTTGGTGAAATGAATTAAAATTAAAATTTTCAGAAAAAAAAACTAACTTCATATTGTCAAGTCGTTTCCACCAAACATATCCATCCCACCAAATGGGTCATATATAATATTACATACATTTCACCATATCTTTTATTCACAGAAAAATACAAAAATCTTATGAAACCTTTCAATAGGGGGCGGCGAACTCAAATTTTCTCCGCCATTAAGATAAAATGTAAGCTTGGAAGAAGCAAGAAAGAGCACACAAACACCACCTTTAACAGTGTTTTTGAGCTTCAAGCTTTCTAAGAGCTGAAGAACTCAGTTTGTCTCCGCTCGATCCTTCAGAGACCAGTTCTACAACCTCAATCTGCAGACGGACAGACGCTAATGAATGAGACCATGTAACAAGTTCAAATGTCTACAATTAGTTTATCGTTAATGAACGAAAAAAAAACAAACCTTTAGTTGGGAGAGGCCCTTCTCAGCTCGCTTCTTGTTGACAGAAATTCCGCCGGGTAGCGTCTCCTTGCTAATTTACACAGGTAACATAAACTTAGAGAGGAAAATGGGGATGATTTAAGACTTAAGGGTAAAATAAAACATAAAATAAAACCTAATGAATTTATTTTAGATATCAGTTCAAACTTCTTTCATTTATTCTCTAATAAAAATACTAAGAAATATAAACGTATGAAAAGATAGTAATCACATTTCATTATTTCAGTCCCCTTTGCATACTTCAAGGTAAATCCAACTCAAAATAATACTCCAATAAGAATTATGAAGTAATATTATGTTTTCATCAGCTTTTATTTTAATTTGCACAATATATTCTGTGATCTAAACATGCCCATAGCAAAGAAAGAACATATAGGTAAACGGCAGGGATGAAGTCTTCTCGATATCTTCAAAAGAATATAATTGATGCATACGTGGTAGAGACGAATAGGAATACACACACCAAGAGAATTGAAAATGAAAGGAGTACTTCCTCATCATTCCAAAATAGATGCAACACTTGAGATTTCATATGTTTGCCAATGCACAAACTAAATCATTAATGTCTTCAATTATGTTTGATAAATAGAAAAACAGTTGATTTTATGAAAGTTTATATCGAGAAAGCTAACAAGATAACACATGACTATAATATTTTTCTTAGGTGAAGATCACAAAAGATGGAGAAATGAGAGTGTAAATAATAAAAAGATGAAAATATCTTTAAAACCGCATAGAGAGATAATGGAGGTAAAAAAAGGAACCTGACAAGAATGGCCTCTAAATACTCATCAACTATTGAAGGGCCATAAGGATCCACAATTGGTTCTACTTGTACATCCAGATGTGGCTTGATAGACTGGATGTAATTCTTCACATTTGCCATTCTTTGCTCGATAGGCTCTATTAGATCAGCGTACTGAAAAAGAAGAAATATGAAAAGAGGAAGGCACCATGTCACTGCCATTGCGATCTTAGCATTAGAAATTGCTTATTTTTGTGAAGATCTCGGGACATCAAATATTACATTTGGCTCCACAACCTGACATGTTTGTCTTATGTTTCTGTTTCGGCATGTCATAAAATGTTTCTCATTCCATATCTGGTTGAATCTAGCAATATCTGCGACTCAAAACCATTCCTACTTTACAAATTCAAATATTGAAATTTGCACTAAATAGTACTAATAGGATAGAGTGAGTAAAAGTCTTCTAGAATCCAAGAAACACTGAAAATGAGGCAACCATTAAAGAATGTGTAGAGGTGTTTTTTTTTTGGAATTGTTTATTCTTGGGTTTCCACCTAGAGTGTATCAAATCATTTTGTATATCTACTTCATGTTTTAATGAGAACCAGTGAAGAGCCTTTCATCTTCCTATACCAACAACAATTTGTGACTCAGTTTGGCATATCAAGCTCAAAAGCTAGATGAAAGCTGAAACTCATAGTTATAAGCTGAAAAGTTAAAATTACACATTGGGGATGTTCACCATTGAGAACTTTAAGTTTGGAAACAGATATTTTGGAATTCAAATATGGAGATATTTCACAAACAGTGAAAACTGATTCCAGCTTAATTAGACCGCAGACACTGTTTTGGAGAAGCTGCCATTTTATGGCTTCTTTGAAACTACCAGGGTACTTTTCAAAACATACTTTTTCTACTATCAATCGGGAAACCCACCATTTATTTTCTAAAATAAGCTTTAAAAATTAGGGTTTAAGATAAGAAGGTAATAAAGGGGAAGAAGGGATATGGAGTGAAAATAAAGAAAGTGCCTGTTTCTTAGCCAACATTGGACCGCTGCAAACGCCGACAACAACTCGCTCCCTGGTCAATTTAGCGGCCGCCTGCAAATACATATTCATTGCAGTAATCGGAAGAAGAAGAAAGAAACTGGAAAATTGACAGAAGCGCGGCGCAGGGGGGTTGAAAGAACCTGGAAGAAGAGGCGATGGCCCTCGTGTAAGCGATCGAAGGTGCCACCGAGAACAAGGGCGGCGTAGGAATCCGGCGGAGATAAGCTTAGTGCATCCTCCTCCGCAATTGTCATCTCCATGGCAGGGAATCAAAGAGTGATGCAGTAGTACTGCAAGTTCGTTGGATTTGTGAATGGAGTTAGGTACTGGGAAATGGGAATAGCATCTCCCCAAAAAAAAAATCAATCGTTCTTAAATTATTTGATGAAATAAATCCGAAAATAATACTCTAACTTTTAAGTCAAAAATTAGTTTACAAAATCCAAAATGACATACTAAAAATAGGTCAAAGTCGATCAAACTCGAATTCGGCCTACTAGCCAACATAAGATTTTTTTTCTTCAAAAGTGTGTATTAGTAGGGAAAACAATGGAATAACATAAATTCATGTTTTCATTTTTTTATTGGTCATTTTAAGTGTATAAACATATAGGGAGTATTTCAAAACAAGATTTTGATAGTCTCACATTGTTCTAAAAAATGGTTATTATTTAAAATTTCAAATTTTTTTGGATTTGTCTAAAAAGTAGTTAAATATTCAAAATAATATTTTCTACTACGTATGTATTTTGAAATTTTATTTTATTTAATTTTAGTAAAAATGCAACTATTAGTATGAGTTTAAATATTCTAAATAAATCTTATAACTCGTTGGATCTACTCTAATCCGATGACACTAAATCATGAACGTGTTATTTTCAATCCGACTCCAAACTTACCCGTAGTCGACGTGCCCCAAACCAGACCTGACCGAGGAATTTTACAGCTCTAACCTGTGGTCAAGTGGGCTTAGTTCAAATCCTATATATGAAATATTTTTCAAGAATTGACGAAAATCATTTATGAAATTCACTCTCAATTTTGTTATTTTTAACATGATCAATTTTTTTCAAATATCAAACTTCAAGCTCGAATTATCAAAATTCGAGCTTGAGTTAACTTGTATATCACTATTTTTAACATGCGTCAATTTGAGAGTTGACTATTTGAGTAGTACTCCATCTATCCTGCAATAATATTTTATACGAATCACTCTGTATCTCTTTTTTTGTTATCCCCAAGAAAATTTCATTTTTCTTTTTATACTCCGTACAATTTTACTTTTTTTATTTTTCCTATCCCGTCAATTGTAAAACATTATTGAGATGTGGAACTCTGGAAGGTGTATAAGAAAATGAAGTGACAATGACTCCAAGATCAAAATTAACTTGGGAGTATAATTGATGTGTGTGGGGGCGTGTTCGGGTCAGGACAGAATGGGATTTATCAGGGAGTTAAGAAGGATAGAAACCGTTAATTTTACGAACGGGGCACCAGAGCATCTCGAGTCATCCCGTGACATTAGTTTCCAATGTTATTGGTTTTCAATGTCACGAGAACGAAAGTGCAATAGTAATTGGGAGTGACAATAATTTATTTACCAATTTTGCCAAGTTGGGGTTGCAAAGTTGTCCGTTTGATCAAAGCACACATTTGATCATCCAACGACTCGCATTGACCCCTGCTGCTCAGTGCTCCATGTACGAAATCCACTACAAATAATAATCCCGTCTCCCTTCACCACCGGCCGTCGGCGTCACAAATCCAATCGGAGACGAAGAGCTTCTTCTACTCCCGCCATCTCTTTCCTCCTCTCTCTCAGTGGTATTTACTCTGCACTTCTTTTTTCTCCTTGTTTATTCAAGTTTCTTCCTAGAGTAGGGCTTCGAAATGTTTCGGTTTGTAGTTGCTCGGTATAGTTGCTATTGCGATCAGTTGCTTCTCCGATGTCCTTTCTGGTTTGATTCTCTATGTTTTTATATGAATTCTTAGTATATATCTCACATGAACTGACGCATGCCGATCATAATTCCGATCAATGTTATTATGTGCTCCGAATTCTCCTTAACTTCGTTGTTTAAATTTTGTGTTCGTTCCTATACTGCCAAATGTCTTAATTTGTATTGGTTCTCAATGATAACCTAGAGAGAGAGATTTAAAACCTGATATATATGAATATGATTGTCTGAGAGATTTCACGAATGTAATTGTTTTCCAATTGCAAATATGAGTGATCAATTTGATAGCCTTCGAACTTGCCATAGTTTTTCTTAAGGTAATAAGTTCATCATAATGTTACTTGTTTTGCTGATTCTGTTCGTTCTAACTTGCGGTTAGTTGAAAATGGCCAAAAACAATAATTCGGGGAACTCTAATATTGCGCTGAATGAAAGGATCCTTTCCTCTATGTCTCACAAATCTGTTGCTGCTCATCCCTGGCATGACTTAGAAATCGGTAATAATTGCTACCAAATTCGTAAGTTAGTTATTTTAGATGTTACAATCACTCATGCTCATCGTTGTGAGGTTGCAGGTCCTGGTGCACCAGCGGTGTTTAATTGTGTAAGTTTACATGCAACGTTCTAATATCCTATATTACATACTGGAATTTGCTGCAACTAAAGTCAACATTTATGTTACAGGTGGTTGAAATTGGAAAGGGTGGAAAGGTTAAGTATGAGCTTGATAAAAACAGTGGCCTGATCAAAGTGAGTTCAATTGTTTGCTTCTCAAATGCCAATTACCCAACTCTTTTTTACCTTGCTCTTTAATTAAACCTGACTGCCATGGTCTAATATGGTACATGGATATGCAAAATTTACGCATTTTTGCGTGAATTTATTGTGCCAAAATAATATTAGCTCTATAAATTTCATGCCACTGACCCCAACTAGCTGGGATTAAGATGATGATGATGATATACTACCACCATCCCAAAAAAGTATTGTTTGTATCATTGAAATCCGCTTTACAAACATCAGATTTTTTGGTATAGCAGTAGTGCCGTGCAGAAAAAAGTACTTATATGAGATCTAGAAATGAATATGTCAGCCACCATATGTTCGGATAATTATCAGAATAAGAATGTTTGCGCATATGAGTACCCAAACCATCTTGATAGATGCAACACCTTATTCAGTATTGCGGTTTGGGGTTTCAGAATGCTTGTGGATCGTTGATTGTGATGTGTTAAATATTGTGTAATGCACTTTTAGTAAAATGATGAAAAATATACCTTGTTCTGCTCAAGCTTGTTTTTTCTTTCTTTCTTGTAATTTATTAATCAGACAGAGTTATACTTCTTTTCAATGAGTAACTGGAATTCTACCTGGTAGGTTGATCGAGTTCTCTACTCATCCGTGGTTTATCCACATAACTATGGGTTTATTCCAAGGACTATCTGTGATGATGGTGATCCAATGGATGTCCTCATACTTATGCAGGTTAGTGTTATACTAACATAGGTATTATTATTATAAATCATAGACCAATCTCTTTAGTTCTAACTATTCCCTTTTCATGTAGGAGCCTGTGCTGCCTAGTACCTTCCTTCGTGCCCGTGCAATTGGATTAATGCCTATGATCGATCAGGTCAGTTCAATATAAAAATTAGTTCTATATAGATACGGAGTTTAAATACATGTAAAATTTGAATAAGTTATTATGAAAAAAATGCTTTTCCTTGTGTGTTTTCCAATGTAAAGCCAAAGACAAAAATACCATTTTCCTAGCCATTGTTTTTCCCTTCCCGTTTTCTGCATTGTGCATCATAATTATAGCATAAAGGATGATGGAATGGCCTGACAGGGTGAAAGGGATGACAAGATAATAGCAGTGTGTGCAGATGATCCTGAGTTTCGTCATTACAATGACATCAAAGAACTACCTCCACATCGTCTTGCAGAGATCCGCCGTTTTTTTGAGGACTGTATCCCCCCAACCACATGCTTACCCTGTCCACTATTTTTCCTATGGCATGTTATTTCTAAGAGCCCTTAAATAATACTCCATACCTTTATGCCAGTAACAATGGGCTAGAAGTTCAAACATTTGCCTTTGTTCATCAGATATCTTATTATGATCAAACATTTTTTCCACATCCATGTATATTTGAACATCCTTTAACATAAGATAACAGACAAGAAGAATGAGAACAAATCAGTGGCAGTGGAAGACTTTTTGCCTGCAGAAGCTGCTGTTGATGCTATCAAGTATTCCATGTAAGTTGTGCATTCTGTCACCCAAAATAAAATTAATAAACATTCATTCCTCCAGTGAGGAAATTTCGGAAAATGAAAACATAAGGAAAATTTTGGATATTGAAAACAAATGAGGGAAAATGAAACATTTGTACGAAAAACTTGATGAAATTATTTTTTGGTGTATGCTCAAACTAATTTTACTCATGAGTCATGAGTGCCTGTTTCTATTTTATACTCCGTATTATTTTATAATAAAAACAACCAAATCTAAACATATGTAAACAAAATAAAAAAAATATTAGTCATCTTACATTCTTTGTTGTATTTTCTGTGGTAAAATAAAACTCCATTGACAATGCTTCTCTTTTCCTAGTATTTTTTGTGAACGAAACATGACCCAAGAGACAAGAGTAGGCGTGAGCCTTCGGGCTTTGAAGTGCAGACCTTTTCTTTTTCCTCTATTTTAAAAGAAGCTAATGTACATATTATTGTTTTATAATAAAAACAACCAAATCTAAACATATGTAAACAAAATAAAAAAAACATTAATCATCTTACATTCTTTGTTGTATTTTCTGTGGTAAAATAAAACTCCATTGACAATGCTTCTCTTTTCCTAGTATTTTTCGTGAACGAAACATGACCCAAGAGACGAGTAGGTGTGAGCCTTCGGGCTTTGAAGTGCAGACCTTTTCTTTTTCCTCTATTTTAAAAGAAGCTAATGTACATATTATTGTTTTATACTACGTAATAAAAACAACCAAATCTAAACATATGTAAACAAAATAAAAAAAACATTAGTCATCTTACATTCTTTGTTGTATTTTCTGTGGTAAAATAAAACTCCATTGACAATGCTTCTCTTTTCCTAGTATTTTTCGTGAACAAAACATGACCCAAGAGACAAGAGTAGGTGTGAGCCTTCGGGCTTTGAAGTGCAGACCTTTTCTTTTCCCTCTATTTTAAAAGAAGCTAATGTACATATTATTGTCCCAACTCCAAAGTCCAAACCATTTGTTCTGTATTGTGAGCTCAGGGATTTGTATGCTTCTTACATTGTGGAAAGCTTGCGGCAGTGACTAGCAGCGGATTGGGGTTTTTGAACCTTCAGGGGGGCACCTCCTTGGCCAAGTAACTGTCTGAATTCTTATTCAGGTGAAAGTATATCAACCACTTTTGCCCTCTTAGCAAAAAACATATGTTTTTAATCAAGCAGCAGTTCTGTTTTAAGTCTCCCTGGAGAGGACTCGGGTAATCATTTGACGCGGGAAACAAAAGACTTTATGTTCCTCAGTATTCTATGACGCCCTCACTTGCGCTTCTGAACTTTTATTTTTAAGAGACGATGATAGCAGAGATAATGTACTGTATTATTAAGTGAACTTAAAAATAAGGCCATGCTACAAGCACACCACACATGACGCCAAAGTTTACACCGTTTAGTGTCTCATTGGTAATGGTTGTATCACAAACAAAAATGTGCGATTATCTCTAAGAGGGGAAGGGGAACTCATGGGTACTACCCATCGGCCAATCCTGCAATGCCATCTCTCTTTTTTGCTTTTTCATTTCTTTTTTTGGTTGATGCCTTCCCTCTTTTTCTTTCTGCATTTCCTTTTTTTCTTCAATTTTATTTTTTATCAGTTTTTAGTTTTTGATTTTTTTGGTTTTTTCTAGTTTTATGCTTTTTAATTTCATTTTTTTGTTTTTATTTTAAGTTTTCTGGGTTGTGTTATTTAATTGTACTTTATGTATTTAGGAGAAAAGGGAACCATACCCCATAGCTCAAGTGATTGGAGAGAACAAATGTATGTTTCTCTCTATGCTTATAAGCTGGTCAAACCTATTTATAAGTAGTTTTTAACTTATAAATTAGTTGTTGATATTTTTTCATTTCTCTTTTTTATCAGATTATTTCCAAAAGTATCCCTCACCATTTATGAGTATTTTCAATTGACTTATTTATTGTTTGAGTCATTTTACTTTCACGAAAGAATATTTTGCTTATAAACAGCTTATAAGGAATCTGTAATAAGGCAAGAAATATGAAAAACACCCCATAATTATGGCATGTGTTTGATCATGGGAGATTGGGGGATATGAAATGTTTAATTTTGGAACGGTTTGACCAGATAAAAGTAAAATGGGAGACGTTAGGGGTACACCAAAAGTGTACCCCATTTGTACACCACTCCCTCCATAACCACTCATTTATTTTTTATTTTTATTTACTTGATTTTTTTAAATTTCTTGCCTATTTAAGTGGTAATGGAGGGGATGTGGGACAAATGGGGTACACCAAATTTCCAAGTAAAATAGTGTATAGGGGCCCAAACTGAAGCATGATATCAGAGATTGTGGGCGGAATGAAAAGATAAAACGAGATATTTTATCAAGGACCATGTTTCACTTACACCAAAATTTGTACACCAAATTTATACCAAAGGTATATACTAATATTTTGATGGTTTATATTGACACAAAGTGTTGGTGCGTTAACAAAAATTTACACTGACACAAAGTGTTGGTGCGTTAACAAAAATTAGCATTATATCAACATAAAATATTGATGCACACCTACGGTATACAAATGGAGTACAAACTTTTGGAATACAAATAGCTATCTTTTATCAATTTTTGGAACGAGGTAGTATAGGGGCCCAAATTGAAGCATGAAATCTTGATGTGAAGGAAATCCGCTATAATAGGCTGATTAGTCTCTATCAAGTTCAGGTTTTTATTGTCATTCGAGCTCTCACCTTGTCCTTGTTGTAAGTTGTAAGAGGGAGTTGAGAGTATCAGTATTAACCTTTTAAGGAAGAGGTGAACTGTAAAGTGATTTTGAGAATACTTATATAATTTTAATGGGAGGGTCTTTATTTTTTACAACAAAAAATTACAATAATGTTTATAATAATGCAATCGAAGTTCTTACAGTACTCTGTTCGTAAACTTTAAAAAATCAGTCTAAATAGAAGTAAAACATAGAGAAAGTATCAAAATAAGAGTTTCATATTTTTATTTCCAAAATAGAATTTTGTACAGTGTTAATGTGACACTGTAAATGTACATTTCACAATAATTATTTGGTAATGTATATCGTTATTATTGACAATGCATATGCATTTTAACTCATTTTTAGAATAAAAACATGAAATTTCTATTTTGATGTATTTTTAATGTTTTACTTCTACATTAGTTTTTTTCCTAAAATATATTATTCCTACACTCTTAACCTTCCGCTAAATCCCCTAGCCTGTTCCGGCCCGAACGCATTAATGTACCCCCCTCCAATTGTACTTTTCATTTTGTTGATTTTTGTAGACAATTTTTTGACCAAAATAAAAGGCAGTGCAATTAGAAGAGGTGGGAGTGTGCGTTAGGGACCGGACTAGGGGGATTTACGAGGGGGATGGGAAGGGGCTAGAGAGGTAGAAACAATCAATTATACGAATGGATCCGAGAACTGAAGGTGCCCCCCTCCCCCGATTACATTGTTGTAAGAATGGTTGTAATTCTTTTGTTACTCCATCTGTCCCTAATTATTTGTCTACTTTTGTCTATTTAGATATTGATACAAAAATAATTTTATAAGATTTATTATAGAAACTATTTTCAAGATATTATTTTATCTAGTTAATATACAACACATATTTTAATTAATTATAGGTCAATAGTTAATTGAAAAAGGTCAAAATTAAATAAACATTTAATGACAGAGGTAGTATAAAAATCAGAACCCTCTTTTAGAGGAAAATATTCATACCTCAAATTCCAATTTTAATCTCTAAATTCTCGATCGATGCTTGTGTTCATACTCTAAATTCATATGAAGAGATTTCAAACTTTAGGTCTCACATGTTTGAAAGCATCCCTAATAATCTCTACATGAAAAAACACACTCCGTACATATCAGTGCATTTCTACCTTCCAATTTACGTTAGCTTGAAGTTATGAATCTTACCTTTATAGACTTATAACTAAACACTTAATTTTTGATTGAGTTTGTTTTTTTAGAACATAATATCAGAACCTAGTTGGCTAATAAGAGGTCATAAGTTTGAAATTTACTGCCTTCGAGGCAATATAAATAAAATTTCATGTGCAAGGCTTGAAGCGGCCACGCCACTGCTGCACGTGAGAGGTCGTTTTAGAATATAAAAACTTTTTCAGCACCTACGATTACAAGCTTGAATTTTTAGTCAAGTTATTTTGTCCACATCTTCCAATATGTAATAAGGAGTACGAGTAAAATTAAAGGGAAAAAAATAGAGGTGAGAGACACGTTTATATTTGAATCTTGTCTGTCTTGTTTGAACACCGACTGAAGCCATGAGAGTTGACTGTGCAATTTGCATGAAGAGCCACAAGCTATGTTGAATGAAGAGTTGAGTCTATACATTGCCATTTTGTCAATCAAGTTTTTGACAAACTTTGTAGTTTTGAATAAATATAATATAATACACCTAGTAGACTAATTTAAACAATTCAAATTAGCATATCAACTTATTATTACCTTTATTCAATTAATTCTAATAGGAAGTTTAGCTAGGGAGCTTGCCAATTAATTTATAAAGAAAGATCATATTCTCTGCGGGCCATCAAGAAACAGAACTTCCTAAACCGGTAAACATTGTTACTGTTGTAAATTTAATTGGTTCCACACGTACTCAAGTTGTTTGTGCTAATTGTCTCCCGACGTGGTCACATTTAAGAAACGATTTGAGCCCACTTCAAACGTATATATTCCATCACCTCATAAAGCATTATGTATATTAGGCCCGGTTCTAGTGACACCGGAGAACGGTGCCACTCCGGTGCCACTGTATTTTTGGGGCACCTCCGGTACTCCGTTCGTAAAATTGACGGTTCCTATCCTCCCTAACTCACCCCCTAAACCCTCCACCCCTGCACCCCCACCCCAACCCCGCCGTAAGCCCCCCCACAAAATGTGCAGGGGTGAGGGTATGGTGGGGGGGTTTAGGGGTGGGTTACGGGGGTAGGAACCGTCAATTTTACGAACAGAGTATCGAAGATTCCCCAAAAATGCAGTGGCACCACTAGTAGCACCGTTTTCCGGTGTCAGTAGCTAGATGTATATTTTTTCAAAAAACATGCATTATGAGTGGGCCAGTTACGTGGTGCCATCGGTCTTCATATACAAATTGCATGCTTAAACATGCATTGTACGAGTAACACATTAAAGAAAAAGCTTGAACTAAGATGATCCTCACATATATAGGACCTTTTTTTTAAAAAAAAAGATGAAGTCTATCTCTGAATTGAAAGCCCTTAGCACCGACCAGGCAATTAGGTTAGAGGAAGTAAATTGAACTATAGTGATCAGTCAGTTGGCGTAGTGGTAGAACTTCTGTACGTAGTATTGCAAAGGCCCATACTTCACATAGTTATCCCTTTCTCTTTGCCCCTTTCTTGGAGCTTGAAGAACGCTCAAAGTTCTTCCTTACCTGATACGATATTCGTATCAATTGGTGCTCTCATTGAGATATGGAAGAACTTCGAGCGTTCTTCATGCTCCAAGAAAGGGGGCAAAGAGAAAGGAAAAACTTCGAGCGTTTCCGAGTTCCAAGAAAAGAGAGATGAGAGATTAAGAGAATTCTTGATTATTGATCGATTGAATGATAATGATATGGGATTACAACTTATAATGATGAGACGTCCACCAACATGACCTAATGGGCTCGGGTCCATACAAAAACCCTAATCTATAGAATATTAATAAATAGTAATAAGTAACTACTAAATAATAATATAACTAATTAAAATATTTTAATTAACTATTCGTATCAGTGTCCTTATTTGTTTCATGATTTATTTGGATGCTCATTTATATTGACTTTGGCACTTTTGGCCCCCCTTGTATTCAATTTAATATGTCATCCTAAAGTTGCTTGATATTGTTTTACGTATAAACTTGGACAAAGTATTTGTTGCAAATTTCAAAATTTTGTATAAATAAATAAGAAAGGTAGATTTCATTCAACAAGTCAACCAATACTACAAGTAATAAGCATGCCTAAACATAATTATTATACTAGTTCTTTTTACGAAATCAAATTATATAATCTAATACTCCGTAGTACTAATTAAAGTGTGTTTGTTAAGGAATAAATTTGAAAAAGCACACCTTATCCTATGGATATATGTCGTGCACTTTTCACCTCAATTAAACTTATGCAAGACTCCCTTCTTCCTCTAGTCAAAGTCACGTCATCCATTCTTCTATACTTGGCTAAATTTACTTAAGAAATTAAAATAGCTAAGTTCACACTTTTTTTTACTAAATTTATTTATTTTATGTCCAAATTTGTGTGATTGGTTTGTTCTCTTCAACTTATATGATTGCTTCTGATCTGATTTAATTAGTTATCATCTCATTAAATTTATTATCTAATTTGATCTGATCTAATGATAATTATTTTTGAAGTTATTTTTTATGATTCCAAGAAAAATAAATAATAAATAAAAAGAATAAGTTAAAGTGAACAAGCTCATGGTCGAATACCTCATTTCGTCATTTCCCTCTTAACTTTTTGACATCATTAAATTCTAATGTAATCCCCCCGTCCCAAAATTGGGCTCATGTTCAAGTACGATATTAGACTGAAATTATTTTTTAAATGAATATAACTAAAATTGGTGTAAAATTAAAAAATAAAATTATAGAGTATATATTAAAAAACTACATCAAAAGTTTTACAAAATAAGTGGTGACAAGTTTATTTTATAAACTCAAATAATTGATTAAAATGTACAAAGTAGAGTTACTTTGACCAGCGAATAGTAACTATGAGTCTTTTTTTAAATGAAGAGAGTAATATTTAAAAGTAAACAATGAGTGATCAGAATCTGTTAAAAATAATGTGAGAAATGTACTAGTAATTTTTTTTCTCCATTCGTCCCAAAATGATTTATCTCTTTACTAACACAACTTCTCAATAACGGTTGTTTATTTGCATATTTTTATTGATCAATTGATAAAATAAAATATTTTTGTTAGTTGTTTGTTCTTTTATAAATTTTTTGATGTAATTTTTAAATATATAATTTATATTTTTTATTTCAATACTAATTTGTAAATAAATTCATTTTAAAAGGTACGAGATCTTTCATGTTAAATGGAGAGTGCAACTCATTTAGGGACGGAGAGCGTATTAAAAAAAGTGCAATGTGTGAATTTTATTTTGAAACGAAAGATGTTATTTTAGGAGGGTGTTTGGGAGTAATTAACTTACAAATAAAGTGATTTCCACAAAAGGTGAAAGCAGAAGCACCTCATACTTGCTTCTCTGAAACGGTGTTTTATGTACGAAATAGTGGTGGTGAAAAGCAGAAGCTGACATGCCAAACAGAGTAAAATCACTTCTACTCAAAGTAGAGGCTAAATTATTAAAAACAACACACTGTCAAACACCCTCTAAAAACTAAACAAGAAGCACGTGGAAATATATTTGTTGAATTGAAGTTTTCACTCGTGGTTGAAAAATGAAAATATTATGAAAATTTGTCTCAATTGAAAGTATTGTATATCCTAAAAAGTATATTCTCTTAATTTAGTTTTTACTCTTATTTATTTGTTTAGTGATATTGACTCGACTACATTAGTTTTTTTGAGAAAAAGTATTAATGATTGAATCACATTAAAAGATTGAATCTAATCGATTAGTTAGTTCAACTTAAGAGCTTATATACCGATTATTTTATTCTTGGATTTCCAATCGATTAGTGACCTATTATCTTATCCGTAATATTGCATAATTCGTATTTTCCATTATGTATATCATCACATAATATTTTCATTGTGCATCGCACGGGGGTTAGAATCTAGTTTGCTCTTACAAATTTAAAAAAAAGAGTAAATTCCATAAAAGGTACCTAGTTATAGGTCGTTTTACATATTTAGTACTTACTTATCAAATATTACTAATTTAGTCCCTAATTATTATATCATTTTTCACTAATGGTCCTTTGTTAACGTTTTTGTTAAGCACATGGATAAAATTGTATATTCATACTTCTCTCTCTTCAATTAAGCTTCTTCCTTCCCTTCGTACTCTTTCCAAAACTCGTCGTTGAGTTTGAAGCTCTAAACCCAAAACTGAAATGATCACTTATCTTTCAATTATTAGTCTTCTTGGTGGAACCTAAAATCAAAACCAATAAGTTTTATGGAAGAGTTTTATCGGTTAGTCTCAAGAAATTGCAAAGAAAATAAACATTAAAACTCATCCATGAAGGTTACTCGTTTCGAATTTGAGTTCCACCAGTTCGACAAACAATTGAGAGAAGAGTGATGGTTTCGGTTTTGGGTTCAAAACTTCAAACTCAGCGACGAGTTTGGGAAAGGAGTGCAAGGAGAGAGAGGAAGCTTAATTGAGGAGAGAAAGGAGTCTAAATTTACAATTTTATCCACGTTCTTAACGGAAATGTTAAAAAAGGACCATTTGTGGAAATAAATATAATAATTGGGGACTAAATTAACAATATTTGATATGTAGGAACTAAATATGTAAAACGACATATAACTGGCCTGGGGACCTTTTATAGAATTTACTCTTAATACTAATTAACAACAAATCAGAATACAACGTCTCACAAATATTTGCCAGAGGAACAAGAACCCACTCCAGCCAATCAGACTCAGAATCAGACGCTCGAGCAAACCTGTGAGCCACCTGACTCGCTGATCTTGTAACAACTAACAAAGTGAGAAATTCAAGTTTTGCATCACTGTCTTATAAACAAAACTCATAAAATAAGAAGAAACCTCCACATCATCTTGGAGTGCCTTAAAAACAACTTTGCTATCAATATTTCTTGAAAGTTACTAGTTTTGATTTTTGTTCTACCAAAAAGATGAACTGATGAGAGATGAGTGATGGTTTCGATTTTAGTTTCAGAGCTTCAAATTTAGCGACGAATTTGGTAGGGAATATGAAAGGAGGGAGGAAGCTCAATTAAGAAGAGAGAGAAGTGTGAAATTACAACTTTATGCATGTTCTTAAAGAGATTATTAACAAAAGACCATTCATAAAAAATAATATAGTAATTAAAGACTAAATGATTGATATTTGATAAGTGGAAACTAAATATAAAAAACGACATATAACCATGAATCTTTTATGGAATTAACTCAAAAAAATCGCTTAAAACATTATTTTATCAATATTTTAAGCTCTCACAAATTCAATTATGTCTCTACATTAAAAAAAGATTATAGAGTTACAAGTGATCATTGTTAATTTTGAATTATTCACTATTTAAGACCCCACGTTTGAATTATGATTAATCAATTCCAATTACCAAACACTCCCACTCTTGCAAACCATATTTATATTTCTGATAATTACTCCCCACCAATCACACCCCCCCCCCTCCCAATCTTTCATTTTTTTTAAATTTAAAATTTAAATTCCGAAAAGAGAAACACCCTTTACCAAGAAGCTCCTTATGACCACCGTAATTACCGTTCTACCCTTCTTCCCTCCACCTTCATAATACACAGAAAATGCAGTCCGTATGTAGTACGTTCAGAGCTTTTCTGTTAGTGACAGAGAGATGGAAATGGAAAACCTCTCCCGGACTCGCCTTGGCAATGGCTTCTCTGCCAGAGCCAGAAAGAAGTCGCTCTACGAAGACGTTTTCGGAGGACCGCCGAAGACCGGCGCCGGCGCCCCTTCCCTGTCTCCCCGCCTCGAAGACTACACCGAGATTTTCGGAGGCTTCCGCTCCTCCCGGACCTCCTCCATCCCGGTTCTGGATCTCCCGACGGCCGACGGCGGCGAAGACCTCAAGTCTCTCGATGGCCGGGCCTCGCGGTTCGACTACACTCAGATTTTCGGGCGGGTCAATGTTGTGGATTTTGCTATTTCGCTCGAAGATTTGATGGGACTGCCTAATGCTGGGTACAATTCCTCAGACGAGGCATGGTATGATCACCCTCTACTCTTTTGACTCATTTGCTTCATTAGTGTGAACATAATGTTGTATGTGAGATTGATGAAGAATGCTTAAACAACCGAGTAATTTTTAGGTCTGTTCATATTTGCCTAATAGGGTGTTTTTTTTTGTTTATTTCTGAAATAGTTCTGGACCAACATTTTAACATACTGAGGAGTAATGTTAAGAAAAATGGGAGTTTATTTGGAAGCAGATTAGTTCCAGAATTCTAGTTTATTTGAAGGATTATTCTGTTTTACCTTCTCTTAGAGTGCTAGTTTTACCTTATGTTGGGATGAAACTGGACTGTGAAAATTTTGAGGCTCTTGAACTGCAAGAAGACAACAGGGATTGGTGTTTCTGTTACTAGCTTTGAAGGTTTATTAGGATTTGGGAAGAAAAGGTTTTAGACACACCACACTACACCTATGGGTTTATTAGGAAATCTCCTCATCTTGTTGGGAAAAGAAATTGCTAGCTCTTCTTCATTAGACCTGGGAATGCCTTGGAGTGAAGGATAGGTCCATAGAAGCTAAGCCCTCAGTTTTCTTCTTTGATGAACAGTATACTCATTTGGGGATGGGAATGGAAATGGGAAACACCAACTTTTTGTAATTTTACAAAAGATTTGGTTGTCTGAATGTCCTCGAGTACCCAAACGGGTACGTTTCGCGGATAAGAATAAGAACAAACGTTTGAAGTTCCTGCGCAACATAGGTATACAATAGGGTTACCATATCTAATCTTGTTCTTCCCTCTCATACCTTAGGAGTCCAGCTCAAAGTGAATCTCTGTCGGATGATTCTGATCCGTCTGCTTTTTCTGATAAGTGTGAGAGTTTGGCCAAAGCTGATTTGCTCTACCCGGTTAATGATGTTAAGCAGTTCAACATTTCATATGCTTCAGATGGGACTTCACACATAGCTCGGTTACAGACTGAGCCTTCTCAATTGCCACCACCAGCAAGACCACCACCTACCAGACCAAATCCAACTCTCAATCCCTTTAAGGTTGATCTTGATCAACCTGAAGGAGGGGAAAGCATCACTTCTGCAGGAAAATTTTCAGAAAGTGAACCGGAGGGAGGTTATTCTCAAGGTACTTATAATAGTGTGGAATGGAGGGAAGTAACGGGATTCTTTGAAGTGACTGAAGCATTCCCTCAGAAATCACCTGAGAAATTTAAAACTGAAATGCAGCAGACATCGAGGGAAGAAGAGATGAAGAAACCAAATATGGCCAAAGAGGTTTTTGAGCAGAATATGGACACATTCAAAACAAAACCAAAATCAAATCATGGATTAGATAAATTTGAATGTAAAAGGAGAGAGGAGGAAACAGCAGATACTGAAAAGTATGATGGAAGGAAAATGCCTTCGGGTGACAAAACATTCAACAGAAATATCACAAAGAACATGCTTGTGGAGGAAAAAAGAGACGGCCAAGAGAAATGCATCACTGGAGGAAAAGGAAAAAATGCCGAGCTGGTGGAGGCTCTTGAAATATGCAAAAACAGAAGCAGAATTAAAGAGTCTCTTTGGGAAGAACATGCTGAGAAGACAGTCAAATGGGAAAGCACAAAGAATGATCAGAATTTGAAGATGCACATTGATCATGACCAGACCAGCAGTGCTATTATGTGGGAACATGGAAGCAAGCAATTTCCTAGAGCTTCCCAGAAGGATGAGCAAGATGACGTGAGATTAGCCCCAACTTCTAAGGTAGAAGTTGATGACACATCTGAAGAAGCTGATGAACTTGTTGATATTGACTGGATTGTTAAGGATCACAGTAAGTTGGAAGAATTGAGTGAAGATGGCAAAATCAATGAAGCGGTTGGGAAAAATGAGGAGAACGTTGCTGCATTTGGTAGAGCTTATAAACCAAATATTGTGGCTGTACAAGTGAGTCAATTATCCGAGAAGCAGGAGGAAAGCTCAAACAAGCCGGAAGAAACTCAAGTAGCCTTTTCACAGGGTGATGATCAGAAAGTAAAAGCTGCACGTGAAAGAAAATTTAAAATTGAAGTTGATAATTTGCTGGTCGAGGAAAGATTCAACTCTGCAAATCAAGAGCAAGAGAACTTGCAACATAGAGTTGTCATAAATCATCCTTGTTTGGATGAGCACTTGTTGAACTCCAGAGAAACTGGCATCAACATTGTGAAATTATCACACCATAAAAAGGTCTCTCCTGCCTCGCAAATGGCACACATTTCTGAAGGCACAAAAGGAATAACTTTTCAAGGTCAGAGGAAGGACAATATTGAAGGGTTGCAGTTTACCATCAACAAGGAAGTTACTAAAGAGAAACTTTCACGTCAAACTGTTAGGAACTGGACTGAGAATGGAAAGAGTGTTCTAGAATTTGGAGAGAAACCATCACAGACAGATCAAAGAAGCACGAAGAAGAGCGGAGGAATAGAGGAGATGGCTTCAGGAGTAAGCAGGATACCTGACGAGCTGGGGGACGAGTATCTAAAAAAGATGGAAGAAGAGAGGGAGAGAGAGAGGGAGAGAGAAAAGGACCGGATGACTGTAACTCTTGAAAGGCCATATGCTGAATCCCGACAACGTGTCTTTGAGAAGGCAATGGCTGAGAAGGCTATGAATGGTGCACGAGAACGAGTAGATAGATCATATTCTGATAGGTTTTCAGGGAATGATGAAATGCGAACACACTATTTCTCTTCTGTGAGTATCTCTTTTTCCTTTTTGTTTGTTTTTGGATGTGTTGGTTATAAACACCATAGCGGTCTATTAATATAAGTGGCGATGACAGAATATTATGGATCACCAGAACCAGCATGCCACAAAGTTGAGATATTCATATTCTGCCAATGCGGGTATACACTTAACAGCCGTTTCCATGCTATTTCATAACAAAATCATTAATCAATTATATACACTTTAACTTATTACGGAGTAATTTTTTTTTTCTTTTGGAAATTTTTAATCTAAGCTTTTGACTTGTTGTAGGCATTGAAGGCGAAACAGCTCAGAGATGTAAATCTCGAATAGAGCGATATCAAAGAACGACTGAGCGTGCTGTACGTGACATCTTGTCTTATCCTTCTTTTTTTGGAGGGGGGGGGGAGTACAGAATGCTTTAATGCTTGTCTGTGTATCCATCTCAAGTTATGTGGCATTGTTTCAGGCCAAGGCTCTTGCAGAGAAAAACATGCGTGATCTTCTTGTTCAAAGAGAGCAACTGGAGAGGAATGTAAGCTTCGTTTTACTTGGCATCGCTTTACACATTTACCCATTTATTGCTTATTACTACATCCGTTCAAAAAAGAGTCTTGCATAAATGTTTATTGCTTATTTTGGTAATGTACGATTGTCATGAATCGTTCATCTTTTATGTTCTATTAAAAAACATTGGTATAACTAAGGTTATCATATGCTTGTGTGAGACTTGCACTGGCGGTTTTTAGACAAATTTCCATAAATTTTAGCTTCATTTGATTAAATAGGACTTCTGTTTTGAACAAAGAAATGTTTTCTGAACAATAACCTTACATGAGGTATGCTTGCAGAGATTGGCCAAAGCGCTAGATGCTGAAGTTAAGAGATGGTCGAACGGGAAAGAAGGGAACCTGAGGGCATTGCTATCAACATTGCAATATGTATGTACATATACATCCTAACTAAATGCATAGTTTTGTGCTTCTATGGCTTTTGTCTGCTATGCATAATTTGTTTACCCTATCCAATTCTTTTTAATGTTTATGTTGTTGACAGATTCTTGGGGGCAATAGCGGTTGGCAGGCAGTTCCACTAACGGACATAATAACCTCTGCAGCAGTAAAGAAAGCTTACAGGAAAGCCACACTTTGCGTCCACCCTGACAAATTGCAGCAACGTGGTGCAAGCATTCAACAGAAGTATATATGTGAAAAGGTCTTTGATCTTCTAAAGGTATATATTTGGATCCTTCAGTCTTATACCGCTAAGGTAGTCCCATCATTATACTCCTAAAACACCACACACATATAATGTAAATACACACACACACACAAAGTTAATACGTCTTGCATTCCAAAAAGTCATATTTCAATTTTTTTTTAAAAAACAAATCTTTGAGGAAACAAATTGGATTGTTCATGTAGTGTGTCCAAAAAAAGGGCCACATTCAAGTTAGGTATGATAATGATAGCTAAGCTACCAAATTAATATTACAATTAAGTGAGATTAATGTTTTATTGCAAAAAATATCTTACCAAAACTCTAAGGTGGTCCTTTGCTCAAACATAACATGTTTTAAAGAGAGTAGGTTTTTAAGGAAAGGGGTTCTTTCCAAACGCGAAAAGATCGTCTCCAATCTTCATAGAGTTTCCGGGCATCATATCATAGGACAGACAACAACAAACAATGTCACATGATGATATGTTCTTGATGTGAAGGAAGTTTGATGTAGACATTATTGGCATCCCTTTAAATTAGTCTAATTTTTTCTCTTTATTTTTAGGAAGCTTGGAACAAGTTCAATTCAGAGGAGCGATAGTCAAAGGTCATTAATTAGTCATTCTGCACCTTTAATCTGTGAGAATAGCAAAGTCAGGGAAGGGTACCTTTTTTATTTCTCTTTCCTGCCAATCTATACTCTTTTAGTTTTGACACAAACCTTGGTAACCCTGCTTTAGCTCCTAAAGTTTTCAGTTTCGGGTAAGAAGAGGTAAAAAAAATTGAACACGCCAGGGAGAAATGTGGAATATGGATACTACTCCCATCTAATGTCATGTCACAGCAGCAAAAATTGACCATTGGTGGTCTGATATGTTCTTATATTTTTACTGAACCATCATGTTCTTCCACTTTCATTAATTTGTTCATAATGTCAACTAGTCAGCCCGGTGTATCTTGGGTCTTAGTTTGTTGTTTATTCCGGTGTGTTTAGTGTTTTTATCTTAGCCTATAGCTGTGTAGTTGCTAGTGTGGGTATGTGTGGTTTTTGTCTCTTTGCTTTTCTTTTGTTGGTCGCTTATTTTGTCACTATTTGAATCGAGTTTTTTTAGAAATAATCTTTCTATATTTGAGTATGTTTAAAGTTTGTATACACGTTCCTTCCCCAGACTTTATTTTTTTTTTGTAAGATTTAAATGAGTTTGTTACTGTAATGTTAATTTCTCAATCATGTCCCGCCGGTATCAAATTATGCTCCGGTCTACCTTATTGTATCTTGAGGAAATGAGCAATATTTAGAGGAATTTTTTTTCAGATGTACCAAATAATTTGGAATTCATTATCTCTGACCCTTTCTATACGCCTAGTTTTCCTCGTTTTTTTTCTTTTTTTAAATAATAATTAATTCTTACATTGTGATAATTAATTACCTACTTTGGTGGCAAGTAGCAACGTGTATTATTGTATTTGATCCGAAAATAGTCAAATGTCTACATGAATTACTTTTAGGAACGGGTCATATGGGGCGGTGGGGAGGACGATCTTATAGCCTAATATAAGGATTCGTTTGATTGAATGGAAAATATCCTAGAAAAAATCACATTATTATTATTCCCAGAGTTATGTACGGAGTAAATTTTACGGAGGATATAAAGACTTTTTGAATCAATAAATGGCCATGATATTCCTAGAATTGTTATTTGTTTATATTGGTGCTTCTAGAATTGATACTCCCTCTGTCTCACTTCAACTTCTTTGTACGTTGTTTACAAAGTCAAATTTTATATATTTCATATTTTTTTCTATTTACATAACTCATTTGATAAAATAAAATAATCATGACACCTCTAGTTTTGTACGTAGTAGTTCTTTAGATTTAATTTTTAAATTTATAATATTTATTTTTTGATTTTACACCTACAATCAATTTAATTGGATTAAAAATAAAGTTGGTCAAGTATCTTAACTCGGAAAGATTCAAATGAGACGAGGGGATATATCTGTATATGTTCATATATCTGCTCCAAGTGTTTGGGCACCAATGTAAATTTATCTCATTGTTATAGCACCAATGTAAATATATAAAATCCTCATAGCATCGGTGTCGTTTGTTGAATCTTGAAGTAAAAAGAAATTTTGAGAGTAATAGTGTACATTTTTTAAAACATTTATGTAAGAAATTTGTTAAGAAAAATAATTTTCAAGAAAAACTGTTTTTTCAATCATATTTTGTATTGTGTGTGAGTGGTTAACATTTGATTAAAGAAAAAAGAAAGATTGTGGGTGGTATATTCTTTACATGATTAAGAAAGAAAGAAATTGAGATTACTTTCGTACTATTTATAATACAAAACGGAGAAAATTAGAATTGATTTTTTTTGAAACTTTAAAACTTTGAATGGTGATTTTTTTATACTAGGCAGTCCTTTGCATTGCGATCCCACCACAAGAATCTCCGACCTGCACAAATTAGTATATAGTGCTTGTCACTATGTGTTTAGTCATACCCCACGCATACCCGATTTGAGATTGAATTTTTTTAAGTGTCGATACTGTCACACTTATAAAAATAGGGTCTAATGCTTAAACTCATAAATATGTGAAAATATGTTATTTTTGTTGGTAAAGTAACTTTCACATATTTATGAATTATGACTAAACGAGTTGGGATAAGTCGTGTATGGCGTATGCTAATCCGTAGGTCAAACATTCTCTCCTAGAACAAAACAGGGAGTATGCCCTTAGTTTTTTGGAGGGTTATTATAAGAAAAATGCTATGGTGCCTCCAAATCATTGTTACTAGAAGTAGACTCATGCTTCGCACACATGATTATCATCTGTGTCGCACAGATTATTATCATATGTGTCACATATGATAATTATCTGTGCGACACCCATGATTCACACAGATGACACATTTGATAATCATCTGTGCGGCACAAATGATAATCATGTGCGCGAAACATGGATGCATTCGTGATAACAATGATTTAGAGTGACCTAGCATTTTTCTATTATAAATGATTTGCAACCAAAGGCGCGGCCGCATTCATTAAATTGTGGCGCATTATCAGCCTTTATTTGGTCAAAATAAGACTATTCATTAGGCCAAAATTTTCAAACATTTGGCCTTCCATTTCACAAGTACGAAACTTGATTGATGTGTCAATGTTATTAACCCTCCTCCCTTTCCCTCTCAAGAAATAAATCATTTTCATATTCTCCCCAAAAACCAAAAAAATAAAATCCCTTCATTCATTCAATTGAATCAATCGAATCAAGTCGTTTATATAGTTCACAAAAAAACAGAGAGGCTCTATCTCTGCAAACTGCTCTGTATTCTTTCTTTCTTTGTATGAAATTAGAGCTTAATTGCGATGGCCATGTTGAGATCAATGACCGCCAGAAAAAGCCCACATGCATATAAGCAGCTGATTAAAGATGAAGAAACCCATGATCTGTTTGAGCCAAAGTTCAGCAGAAATTCAAGTGTCCCATCCTTTAAAAATGGAGTCTTTGGCACCCCATCGCCATCTTCTTCTTCTTCTTCATCTTCTTCGTCGTCATCTCAGGCGAAATCTCAGGCGAAACAAGCGGAGAAGGCCAGCAAGGTTCACCCGATTTTCAGCCTCTTCAACACCGGCCGGAAAAGTAGCAGGGCCACCGCCAGGCCGGAGTTCTCCAGGTATATGCAGTATCTCAAGGAAGGTGGATTCGGCGGCGTCATAGACATCGCCGCCGCCGCCAAATCGAGCGTGCCCGGAAACTGAACCGTTTCTTCCGATTCCTCCGATTGGATTCCGTTTATAGTGCAGTTTGACTTTTGTCAAGCGACTCATATATGCCCAATCCAAAGTGATGAGGTGATGTAACAATATATAATTGTTCAATTCCTTTTGCACCAAAGTTTATGATTATTATTATACATCTTTGAAAAATGATGAAACATTAATTTTAAACTGCTTTGTAAAATAATTTATTTATAAAATCATATATTGATGAATTGAAGTTATTTCAATATACAAACCAGTTATTAAATTGTTGTAACTTCCCTTTCATTCTAATAAGAATGTGTAAATTTGGTTGATAGCTTGAATAATAATATACAGAAAACATGTTTATATGATATCAGTTATGCATTTATATTTAGTATCAAACAAACCTTCGGGATACAAAATGAAGTATAAGTGTGAGGTACAAATAGAATTTTCGTTACTGCATACTCTTATAGGTTTTCCCTATTGAAATTAGGAACTAGAAACGTCTTGTTGAGCTCAAGTTGAAGAAGAATCTTTATAAAATTCAAGCCAGACCCGTGCCCAAAATATCTAGCCGTAACGGTCAGTACCGGTTCGGAACCAGACCCGGGTCCAAGCCCATTTTGGCAAGGGGAGTAACACCATACGTCTCCATTTCGTACAATAAAAAATTTGATAAAAGGAGGCTTGCGTTTGCAGAGCATAGGGAAGGCTGAAACATTACTTTTTTATGGTTTATTTAAAAAAAATTAATTTTTTTTGGTATTATTAAAAAAATCTAGTACACAAAAAAATGTGTATTTTTATTTGGATGTGTCTATCTACACTTATTATGACTAAATGCACCTCATTTATAGTACGGAGTAATTAAGAGTCTGTTCTCTAGAGCTTGAATTCTTAACTTTTAGTTTCTTCCAGTTTCTTCTAGTTCTTCTAATTTCTTTTAGTTTCTTCTAGGTTCTTCTAGTTCCTTCCATTTTTTTTCCAGTTCCTTCAAGTTTCTACCAACTATTTTGATTTTCTTCAAACTTTTTCTACTCTCTAACCAATTACTCTAAAAACGATATATTTTTAATTTGATTATTATCATTATTATTATTATTATAACTGTTATGTTCATAGCTATAGTTTATAAATTATTCTTTTCATCTCACTATATTTACGATTTGTACTCATTATTTTTTATTCAACTTTTTAACATGAATAAGATAATTTTTTGTATATTAATCTACATTATAAAACACGAAAATAACAATATGTTAAACTATATTAAAAAATTATGGATAAAACAGTGACATAAAATGTTTTATTAATCTAACTTTATATAAGACTTCTCATCTTTTCCTTTATTACTTAAAATTTTCTTATTTTTCTAATTTTTATAAAAAAAAATTGTAAGTCAAAATAGTTTAGAAAAAAGACTAAAATAGGAGTAGAACATACTCCGTAAAAAATATAAAAAAAAGTTTATGTCTTTATTCCAAAACTAGGACTTTAATGAAAATAAAATGTCAATCATGAAAGAAAAAAATAGGTTTAATAATAATAATTTATAACAAAAAGAATTTAAAATAAATTTTTTTAAAGTTTTTTTAGGTTTTTTAATTTTTTGAAGTTTTTACAGTTTCTTCCAGTTCCTCTCAGTTTCTTCCAGTTCTTCTAGTTTCTTCCAGTTTCTTCCAGATCTTCCAGTTTCTTCCAGTTCCTTCCAGTTTTTTTCAGTTGCCTCTAATTTTTTCCAATTTTTTCCAGTTTTTTCCTGTTTCTTCCAACATCTAGCTCTTTTTTCCAGTCCTAAAGAACAGTCTCTAAATGAACTACTTTTGAAAACATATACGGAGTAGAAGAGATATTAGGATAGAGCATTGGGAACGGCGTATAACCTCGTATGCCTTAGCTAATGCCTCGTTGCCACATCACCATGGAGAATACTATTGTCATGCGTGGATAGAGCATGACACCCTTTTTTGCGAGTCACGACTGTGGCAATCTTGAATCCATTTTATTTTTTTAATTTTTTTTCTTTTCTTTTTATAAGGAAAAAATCTGTTAATTTTTTTGAGGAAGTAGTAATATTTTTATGATAAATTAAATAAGTATAATAATTTTTAATAATTAAAATATGTCAAGCAATGTAAAAGATAATAAAAAATGGCTTGCAATTATAAGATTTGAGAATTTGACACTCCACTCATTTGTTACACGCTAACTAGACTGTTTTTCATTTATTGAAATATCCTACGTCAGCGTGTCGCATTCCACATTTCCACCCATTACTTGTCATTCTCATGCTCTTAGATTTTAGCTAACTTTTAGGACAAATTTGTCCATCTAACATAAATAGTTATAATTAGTTATAATGAGGGTAGATATAGCGTTACTCTTTTTCGTTTTTTGTTTTTTTTAGGATTTTGAGATGAAAATTTCTTTAATGTGATTTTGCGGTTTTGTTTTTGGTAAGTATTATCAAGTTAATTAAATATTTGCACTTTTTATTTATTTATGTAATTAGAAATTTATTATTTTTAAAAACGAATTAAATTAAATGTATATTACAGACTGTTAGTTAGAGCTAGTATTGCAGTAAGTTGGCGAATAGAAATATTTAACATCTACTTGTATGAAGAAAAATATCAAAATTGTGGAATTTGATGTGATGATGATGTTGAAGAAAGAGATGATGTACTGAAAAAAGTACTCCCTCCATCATAAAACGTTTTTCTCAATTAACATTCACATGGTTAAACTTAATCACTTTTTCTGCCTATTTTCGCTAGTTAATTGATAAAATAATATAGTCTTGCCACAATCTTGTAGAACTTTTGATGTATTTTTTAAATATATATTTTATCTTTTAATTTTACACCTAAAATGAGATACATTGAATTAAAAATAAATTCGATCAGACCTCGTAAACACAACGGAAAGAACGTTTAGGACGGAGGGAGTATATACGTACGTATACACCTCCGCCCTAGCCTAAGTGGCACCAAAATTTACCTCATCCATTTACAAAAAAGGGTAGAACCTCAACTTCTAGATCAAGTTCCCAGTGCGTGTCCGAATAATATGTTAAAGGTGGTAAATTAAGTTATACTTTTAATCTAATCGAGAAAGAGAGGTGTTTATTTTTAATACGTGTAAGAAGTTCATTCATAGTATGATCGTTCTATATTATCATTGTCAGGAGTCAAATCTAAATTTATTTCATGTGATGCTATCTTTTTGACCTGCTGAGTTACCACATCCATTTACAAATACTCCGTACTAAGTAAAGTATTGTTAACTAAGAGCAATGCTACGTTCACAAACAGAATACTCACAAACTTTACAAACTTATTATTTATCGAATTGATTATAAAAAGCACACTTGATATAGTAGCACTTTGTCAAGAAATTATACAGAGTGCTTATTATATCCATAGATAGGCTTTTATGTAATAAAATATTCGGGTTTTAGTCGGGTCGGTGCGGGTGCGGGTCGGGTCGGGTAAAATTATAAATCCACACCCGACCCGACCCGATGTCGGGTTCGGGTAAAAAATTTCAGGTCGGGTTCGGATTATTTTATTCTCGGTTCGGGTTCGAATATTTTAGTGGTCGGTCGGGTCGGTTAAGCTCGGGTTCGGGTTGAATTGTCATCCCTAGTAGCCATGAGAAAAGATGGGGTGAAAGTTGGATCACTACCAAATAAATACTTGTAGGCTTTCAAAAGCATTGGCGCACAAAGCTATCAAATACTCCGTGTGAAATTACTCCATTCCTGCTGGACCACTCACCCCAATTAATGAGGCCGGACGGCTCGTCCAATTACATCTTGGGTCATGCATGTGCGATGTATTGATTAATTTGGGCCCAAATTTTAATGAAATGTCAACGCAAAAATAATTCACGCAATACATACTCTTAAAGAAAATGCTAGAGTTACAAACATATAGTTCACAAACTACTCTTAAAGAATTAAGGTGTTGTCTCAATTCCAATCCCATTTTATAGAAACATGTCAAAATGACATTATTTTATTTTGTCTCTTATTTTGAGACTGGGAAACTTTACAACAGTTCAAAAATGTCGTAATTCAAACTTTTTATAAAATGTAAACATAAAGATTTATAATATGTTAATCCAAAAAAGTATTTTGAAAATTTTATGCAAAAACATTTGAAATAAATTCTTAAATTAACGTGCAATAAAAACATATGGAAACATTAAATATACTGTAGGTTACGTTTTAATTTAAAATTATTATGAAATTGGATTAAATAAAAGTAATGTGAACGAATATTTGGGTTTATACATAAATATACGAGAGAACGTGACGGAACGAGTTACTTTTTATTTTCCCGGTCCCGTACCATTTAAAATCAGTTTGGGAGGAGTTCGGAACAAAACTTTGTCATTTTAAACCCAACGAGATATTATAGGAACTAAGACCGGAATCTTTCGGAACGAAACAATGAAAAAGGAATTCCTGCCAACCCCTACATGTTTTTGTCATAATACAAATTTATCAATAACATACATACTAATAATATTTATCGTAGTGTTTAACTTTTAGTTAGTTTCATATTCCTCTTTTATGATAAGAGTGTTTTCTACTCCCTCCGTCCCATAAAACTTTTCCTCCTTTCTTTTTTTATCCGTCCCACAAAAAACTTCTCATTTCTATTAAAAAGTCACTTTTACTCCTTACTTTTTCATACCCTAACTATCACATCATACCTTTTTACTAATAATCTATCCATCAAATCATACTTTTACCCATCACATCAAAGGACATTTTTGGAAATTCAATACCAAAATACACTCCCCTTAAATCCCTCCTAAAAAGCAAAACTTCCATGTTTCATTGGACGGAGGGAGTATATTTTATATACACTCTCGCATCTTCATTGTTCTCAAGCAAACTTGTTATTCCAACATGATTTCAGATCCACCGCTCCTAGTGACCTAAAGTTTCTACCTTTGCTCTTGTCGTGTGGCGCTGCTATTAGATGCTCGCTGGCCCTCCCCTGCCTTCTTCCTCCTCCCAATTCAGTGATTCACAAATCCATGAAAAAAAAATTATAATCTCCCTTGATAACTTCTACTGTACAAATCCAAGAAAAAATGTGTTGCAATTAAAATGTGCATTTCTCATTCAATCTAGCCTCTCTTCCTAGAACTCGTAGAATTGGCATATAGAAGTGCGGCCACTACAAAAATACTCCCTCCGTCCACAAATAAATTTTACGTTCACTATTCACAGGGTCAAGCTTTATTCACTTTGTTGGCTTATTTTCGTCACTCATTTGATAAAATAATATAGTCATGTCACCTCTAGTTTTGTAGATCTTTTGATATAGTTTTTTAATATGTAATTTTTATTTTTTAATTCTACACCAATTTTCATATAAAATGATTTGAAAATAACTTCAGTCAAACATCGTAACGCGTATGAGTGTAAACGGATATTAATCGGATCGGATGTGTCATTACCAAATCCGTATCCGTTTATTTTTGTCGGATATCGAATTCGGCTACGGATCTTGACGGATACTGAAAATCAAAACCGTATCCACATCCATCGGGTATCGGCCGGATATCGGATATATCTGTATCCGTTTCCAATTTTTACAATCAAATTAAACAATACTTTAATTTTAAATTAGATTAAAGTCAAAATATTATTAAATCAACTATAATTTGTTATGTGATAATTATTTTCTTTGTTTTCATGATTTATGATATTCTACGATAACTTTATATGATAAAAAGATATATACACACGACACATATACACATATTTTTATATGTCTGCACTTATTTTTATGTGTCTACACATTCATTTTGTATATACTTTGAAACATCAATAGAGAAACAAAATATAAACATAAAAAATTAGAAAAAACTATATATAACGGATCGGATTTTCCGATAAACGGTTATTTAAATGGATGCATATTCGGATCGGATTTTAAACAGATCGAATATGCAATTACCAAATCCATATCCGTGTAGTAATCGGATATCCTTAATCGGATACGGATAATATCCATTTTAAACGGATGCAGATATTTCCTCTTTAAACGGATACGAATGCAGACAGTAATTGAATTTTCAATTATCCGTTGAGAGCACTAGTAACGCGCAATGTAAAGTTTAGTTGTAGACGGAGGAAATATTAAATTACCACTACATACTCAAGAAGAAAGCAAATGGGACACGCGTCTTACGGCTGTTATTTGAATACAGTCCCATATATCTTAGACCTGAGATGTGTGAAGTGGCTGTTATGTTGCACTTGATACACATGTGTCATTCTTAACAACACACCAGTGTCAGATCTACAAAAAAAAAAATATGACTGGAGAAATAACACTAAAGAATATGGTAGGGTTCAGGGGTGCACTCTCGATTTTTTTAACGCGTTTGATAATGATAAAAAATAAATGAATTTAACTTCAAACAAGTATTCAAATAAAGAAAAAATATTTTTAAACTAGAAACATAAAACAAAAATTATATCATAAATGAATATAATTATGACATTTCAAATATTTTACATGTATATATGTTTAAGGGATTATCTTTTACTTTTAAACTACGATTTTCTTTTGTTAGTTGGAGCAAACTAATTTTTAACGGGATCGTTTTTTTAATTCTCTACAAAAAAATTAATTTAATAATGTATATTACGGAGTAAAAGAAATTGATTGGGGGCGACTGCCCCCGTATTCATACATGTAGATTCGCCCCTGGCTCGCACCGCTTTGTTGAGTGAGGGTGAGGTTGTTGTATAACTCGGCAAATTTTTTATTTTTAATTCAATTTATATGATTATACATGTAAAAATTTAAGAATAAAATTTATATATTTAAATATCACACCAAAAGTTCTACCTTACAAAAAAAGAAATACTTCGTAACATGACTATATTAATTTATTAGATTATGAATGAAAATAGGTATAAAAAAATTGAGTAAAATTTAACCAAATAAATAGTAAGGAAAGTAAAGAAAGCTTAAGAAAAGTATCTAGAGTTGTAGACTTTTGAAATGGCAAATCCCACAAAAGCTTGAATTGGGTTTTCCATGGGGACAGTGAGTCGGTTTGTCCTTGGCTTTATTATCTTTAGACTCAGTCAGAGATATGTCTGATTAGTTTATCCTCAGACAGACCAATCATACATACATTATCTTTTTAATTCATTCGCGCATTTATTATATATTTAGGAATTATTTACATTAAAATCAGTGTTAAGTCACATGAAGCAAATTTGAATGCCAATAATCATTTTCAGGAATATTGTACATAATAGACCCATTTTTTAATATTCTTTTCGCCATCCTCCTATATACAATGGTAAGAAACTCTTATGAATAGTGTTCCCGCCAATTCCACAACCATTGATTGGGCCGGATTTGCTGCTGGGCTTGGGCCGACATTGGAGCTGGATTGGGCAGACATGCTGGCAATTTCTTGGGTTGCGTTTGATGGCTAGGTGTGGAGCTCCATAAAGCAATGTAATAATAGTTTATGTGGAAGTGTGCCATATCAATACTTTAAATCTTATCAATTTAATGGTTAGATTTACAAAATCCAAGCATTTAATGTGTTTAAACCTACTTGCTTTTCCCAAATTATATATATACACCTCTTTCCATCCAAGACCACACCTCTTCCCATTCTAACCATTTATATTAACGTACGGTGTAAGCTTCATATATACCCAAATATGGCTCAAAATTCCGAAAACAGGTCCATGACAATGTTCACTCCAATTGCGGAACTCAACCGCGATAAGAATTCTTGGATTCTCATGTTGAGGGCTATTCGGGTTTACTTCGTTCCTAAATGGGCGAAAGGTGGAGATTCCATGAAGATTGTCTTTCACGATGAACATGTAATATATTCTACAAGTTATTACATTTGTTTTTTTTCACCCAAAATTCATAATCTCACTTTGTATACTTTTTTTAGGGAACTAGGATTCACGCACATCTTGCTCGAGAGGAAAAAGAGACGTTTGAAACGCAAATCATTGAAGGTGGCATATATGCTATTCGAAATGTTTTTGTCCATGACAACTATCAAAGATTGAAAACTGGTAGCAATGATAAGCTCTTGGGTTTTTTCAAAAGGACCGAAGTGAAAACTTTAAGTCGAAATAATTTCCCCCGGATGATGTTCGACTTGAAGCCATTTCCAATTCTTCAAAGTCAACCATGTTTGAATGATCAACTTCTGATTGGTAATAATTCTTACAACATTTTTTTTTGTGTTAAGCTTCTTTATGAAAATAATGTGTGGCCGAAATAAATTGGTGCAAAAACTGTCTATCTTTGTCATTCAAACAAAAACCAGTATTCATACCGTTACAAAATAAATTATGCCGAGCCAGATTGCTTGACCAATTGCTTAACAAATTGCACAATGAAATGTGTACACAAATGCATAACGACGCAAACACATAATCATGACAAAATATACACATAGACAAATTTCACTTTAGAACATGTACACAAATGCATTCCATGAGGTTAAATGACCACTAAATCTAGGTGTGTGGCCCAATATAGCATTAATGGTCCAAACGGTTATATATATATATATATATATATATATATATATATATATATATATATATATATATATATATATATATATATATATATATATATATATATATATATATATATATATATATATATATATAAACCGATAAATAAAAAAAAATTCGTATATATTTTTTAAGTGTATGAAAAAAACAATACATTGAGAATAATTATTTATAGTGTATATATACATACGTATTTTTTATAACGTATATATACATATTTTAATGTGTGTGTATATTTTATATACGAAATATAAAAGAAATATTTCTAAACTTATTTTTAAGTTTTTTGACTAACACATCTTTTATTATACTTGATCATAATATTTTGGAAAATATTCAGTGGCATAATAATTGAAATATATTTTAATAGTTCTAAAATTGTAGTCGAAAATGTAATAAAAAATAATAACAAAAAATATATTTCCAATGAACATACAATAAATAAAATAATAAGTCATACTCCGTAAAATTTAATAAATAAAAATCTATAAAAAAA